TAGGTTGTAAATGATCTTAGAACTATAAAATATATCTTATGCTTTTAACTTTTAATAATAATATTATAAATAATACCTACAATGTATAAAATTTACAATAAAAAAAAAAAAAAATTATAACTAATAATACAAAAGTATGCAATATAAATTTTAATACAACTGATTTTACATAATATCAAGAAAATTTAGAATCTAATCTGCAATATGCTCAAATAAAAGAAAAAATATAAAGTATTAAGGTTATAAACATCTTTAACTTACTACTTCTGATGTTTAAAAGGACGCCACATCCGCATATGTGGTCTCTAGTGTCATACAATTGCTTAACTTTTGCAAAACTTAACACAGTTTTTAAATGTGTTATGAGCATTTTTAATTTAGGCTATATTATATTTGCATAACTTGCTTAAAAATTGAACTTTTGTAAAATACCAACAGGAACACAGATAATGTTCTTACCATCAGGTTTCATAATAGGTCGATTCACTCAAATTTTTAAACTAACTGAATTAAACTACTGAGCTTAAATTTGCTATGTTACATACTTGTAAGACAGAGACAACACATGTAGGTACGGCGTCCTCTTAGTATTAAATTACAGTTTTGAGAAATTTTATTTGTAACCTTTAAATTTGATAATCCATTTAGTAAATATCATTTTGTTTTTATTTTTTCAGAAGTTTATTTTAAAGCATGCAGATACTTAGTTTGTATGAGTCTGAGGCAATGTATAAGTTATTATACTTAATAGTATTGCAAGTCTCAAAGAAAATTAAAATATTCCTAATTAGAAGTTACAATTTGAGTTCCAGTGTGGTTAACCATTTGCGTAGAACAGTTACCAAAATATTATAACCAGTACATATTTGTTTACCAACTAATTAATTTTAAGATCTCTCACTGTTTATATCCAACTTTGGATCTCAAAGTTTTGTAATTGACCATACATTTTGAAAATCATTTTTATTTTGCTCAATGACCATACCTTTTAATCAGTAAATCAAAAGACTTGCCATTTTTCTGTCTTTACTGACTTACTTTTCCGTGTTAACTTCCTTTTGTCTGTACTTGTATAATTTAAGGTTTTTTTCTAGTATTTTTCATTTTTATGCACTGATTGGAGTGCTAAAAATGCATTTTTATTTCTATATAATATTTTGTCATTGATAATACATGTATTATCTATGTATTTTGTATATATCTTATCTTATGTATTTTGATAAATAGCATGGGTTTTGATTTTTAAAATTGGGTCCGTACCTCATTTTTTTTAAGTTAAAAATATTTTTATATCTTCTTGATTTTTTTTTTTTTAATTTTAGTTGTTTCAGTCTTAAAATATACTTTAATGTTTAGATATGAAATAAATGGACTGTTTATTTTTAAATATATGTATTTTCATTCTGTTCTAAATCTTTTGAATTTTGTATATTAATATATAAGTTCTAAACTTGAAATTTTTCAATTAAAACATTAAAAAAATTAATATTTCACCCTTTTTGAAGTATTTCAGTAAAATTATTAAAAATAGTTTTTCTTTTAAACATATTCAGTTATAGATGATTAGCAATAATATAATGATTAGTGATTGCACACCATAGATATTGAACTTGGGTGTGGCATTGTCTATCTACACTGTATGTAACTTGAAATTAACAGATCGGAGAGAGAAATGGAATTATGGAACGATAGTAATTTTATATTATCCCTCTTAGCTTCATGATTTTGGATCAATGCTGCATTCTTATATTTAATTTCTACGTTTACACAGAAAACATTGATAATGAACAACTTCTCAGTTATCAACCAAGGTTGACAAACAAGGTAAATTTATAAATATTTATAAAATAATAATGTTATTAAATATTTATAAATCCATCTTGGTTTAAAAATTTGTTTTAATATTTTAATGGTTATAAATTACATTTGTAACTGTATACTGTTTAAGTATAAAGTATTGTTTATTGGTATTATTTATATTATAATCAATTAATCAGAAATAGTAGAATCTTAAGTGATTAAAAATCAAGTATCTTTTACAATAATGTCATACAGCAATATATCTTATTTTGATATATACATATAACTTATTTATAAAACTATAAACTTATAACTTACTGCACTACTATGATTTATAAATTATAATTGTATAAATATTTTTAAATAATTATGAAGCAATTAACAATATTAAGTAATAAGTACCTAAATTAATTGCTAATAAATAAAAAACATCAAACATTTTTTTATTTTGTTATATGAGTTAAAATAAGTTTCTTATGACGTTGAGTTAGCTTTTCAGTATGTAACTTAAGAGTGAAAAGGCTATGTTTTAATATGTTATATTGTAGAAATATTGAACAACTTCTACGTTATATGTAAATTAAAATATGTACATATTTTTTTTGTTTCAAAAAAAAAACAACATTTAAAATGTTCACTTGCAAGTCGATGACTATCTATAAACTTAAATTAGATGTAATAAACATTTCACATGGGATGAAAAGTGTAATGCATTTCAATGCTTAGAAATCAAAAGCATGAGTTTTGTGTTGTGCAGTTCTACAATATCTTACCAAAACAGGTACAATTCTAAAAAAGATTCTGTCCACGTCACTTTTTCCATAGAATTACAAGCCAGTTACGGTAATATGCATAATATTGGTCAATTAATTCATGTATAATGTATATACATTTACAGTTTCTTCATAGTAGGACACTAGGTCACCTCTACGCTGCCATTTATAATTTATTGCAGTTGCACATAATGTAGACATGCAGTGTGAGTATAAGTTTTTAAAATCAAAATAGTATCTCGATAAAATAGTCAAGTGATTTTTATTTTCTGTAAACAAAATTATCTCTGAATTATGATTACGGTTAAATTTTGTGATGTTATGAGATGTGTTGAGAGAAATTTACTTAAATATGGTAGTATTTTATTTAGATTAAAAATTATCAATTATGGCCCTGTTCTAATCTAACACATATTAGTTACTTATAACATATTTATTATACTTAGATAATACCTTGTATGTATTTAACTTATTTTAATAATTAACTGTAGTAATACAAATTTTCAAGTAAATACTAGTCTGATAATATGGTACTCAAACATATTTATTTTGTTAACACATAACTTATTTAAAAAAAATTATCATATACCATTAGGTAACAATATTTGTATGGTATTAATTATTACCTTTATGAATTTAATAACTTAAAATGATATCACAATATACATTATTTTCTTTGATTGTACTGCAAACATAATTGTTATAGTTAAGATAAAAAAAAAATATGTTAAATATGTAAAAAATTATGTCTTCACATTATTTCCTCGATTTGCCTCATAGAAAAGTACCTATTTGAAATTTGAAAATATTTTTTTCTTACATCAGTCAGTCTTTATTTACAAAACAATATTTTTTTAATAAAAATTATTTTATATTTTTACTGTTTACATTTTTAAGGTTTTTTTGTTTATGAATTAGTAATGATAACGTATATATATATATATTTGAAATACATACAGTAATCCCTCGTTATCCGCGGAGGTTAGGTTTCAGCATAGGCGTGTCCAGACCTCATTCGCAGTTCATGCACAACTGTGGAATATCCAGGGGAGAGAAAAACTACACCCCCCTCCACCGCCAATAAAAAATTCTGTTAGGGTATTGGGACATGAACCCCGAATTTAAAGATTTTAAATTAATTTTTTTAATTTAGATCAAATTTTGCAGGTCATGCCTGTGCATGAAAGGCAAGACCCGTGGACACGCCTATGGGTTCCAGCAAAGTTGCGTGGATATCGAAACCGCGGATAACGAGACAATAAAGCAATGTAAAACGGGAAGTTAGGTTTTATTTACATACCATTTTTAATTTTTATTATTTTGTACATATTTTGTATTTAATTTTAAAAATCACAAAAAGGTTAGGTAATATGTCTTACAATTATTTGATTATTTATTTTTTTAATATAATTATTTATACATACATAATACATATTAGGAAGGAAGAAAAAAATTTGCATATTATCTACATATTAAGGTATGTACTTTATGTAGCTTATCTGTTATAAGAATGGGTATAATAAAGATACAATTTCATCGTATGTATTAAAGAAAATGTTATCGCCGACCCAACCGCGGATAATCGAAACCGCGGATTAAAAATACGCGGATAACGAGGGATTACTGTACTTACCTAATAATAAATAATATTATTTATCAGTATGTTCATGCCCAAATTTAAATTTTTTATAACAATACATAGATAAATGTATAGTCTATACCTATTTAACATTTTTGGAATTTTTCCCTTATTGACTCATTTGGTTGATGAACTATATATAGATTCTATTGTCCCAAAGTGAGTCTAATAAGTGGTGACTACTGTACCTACTTGTTTCTAACATTTTTAGGATATGTCTATGTAGTGAGAACAGCAAGTTAAACAAAAACAGTTCAAATCAAAGAGTAAATAATTTGTTGGTGATTTTTTATGAGTTTTTGTTTGCTAGGTGTTTATTTCTGACTGTTGTCTTGGTTTTTAATTTATACCCAAGTACTTATATAGTTTTGACCTTCCATAAGATTGGACGTTTTCTTGATAATTGTTGATGCATTGGTATAGGAACACGTTACACATTGTTTGAGGAAAAGTAATTTATTATTTTTTAATTAATAAATAATAATTTAAAATGTATTAAGTGCGTGGGCCCGTATAGGGTATATTGAGAAGTTCTCAAATGAAGAACTTATAATGGTAAGTAATTCAATTCTTGAAACTCTTGCAGGATTGAGAAAATAGGCAACATTGTTTAAGATTTGTTTAGCAGCAATTATAGACACATCACACATCCACTAGATGTAATTGACCAACGTTATTATTAATCTTGGATGATTTTATTTTATTAAGTATCAGTAGTAGGTAGGTAGTAGGTTGTAGGTACCTATTATATAGGTTCTATTATAATAATATTGATTTGGTAAAATAAATGACAAATCAAGTGCATAATAATATATTGTACTATTTACACGGTTTATTTTTATTCTAATCATGTGGAGAACGGTTCTGGTTCGGCATCAATGTTGTAGGTTTTTCGATGTTGTACTTGTTTTTTAAAGTCGATGGGTTGCTGCTATGGCTGTTGTTGGTATTGTGCAAGGGTAGTCTGTCGTTCATGTCCTGAAATACGAGATTCATTGTTAGACAATTTTGTAACCATAATACAATTTCTTACGACAAACCTGCACTTATGTGCTTAGGTATCTTGATAAATATTGAGAATGTGAAATGTATTAATATAGGTAGGTACCTACCTAATACCTACCTACCCACAATCTACTACCTAGTTAGCTTGAATTATACTTTTTATTTCATCATTATTATTGTTGTAAACATTTTGATAATCGTACCCACTCCCTATTAGGTTTAACTTACTATCTACAATCTATTGTTTTACAGTTTCTTATTTCAATGAATTATGAATGGTGAATAATAATAAAGGAGTTAATATTTAGGTACCTATCTGGCTATCTGCCATTACCTATTAAATAAAATTACGTATTACCTAATGGCTAATATTATTCAACAGTAATGAATAACAAAATTTGGCTTTATATATAATATAATTAGTAATTACCTATTGTAAGTCTTTGTGTTAAAATTTGGGACCCAATATATTATTATATATTTATATCCAGGTTTTTGGTGAATTTTTTTTTGTTAGGCATCTACCAAGGAAATATTCGGATTTCTATTTAAAAAAATATTCAATATTAGATTCATTTTATTGGAAAGTTTTATTTTATTCTGAAATTGATATACAATAGGTAAGTACCTGCATAAGTAATACCTACCTACGACCTACCTATTTTTTACACGCATTTTGACGTTAATAAATTTTTTAAATAAGACATGTCCCCATAACATTTATAATCTATTTACCTCATTCATATTGTTTTTTCAATATTAGATATTATACTTATATTTAAATATGTTTATTATAAAAACACTATGTTAGTTTTCAAAAACGATAATTTTTATATTTATTAATTAGTACTTAATATGTTATTGTCACAAATGCCGGATTACACCAATATACTAATATTTTTTTTACCGTACACTGCCCAGTTAAAAGTGTCTAATAGGTACGTTTTAAGTTATTTTGGATTATTTTTTTAGTCGCCGAGTCACCGGTCTCCTATAGTCATAGACTCATAGGACCCGTAGTGTATAGTACTGTATACAATCATTAACGCTAGTTTATTTAAAATCAATGGTAGGTAAAATAAATATTTAGTCTGCCTGTGTCATTCAGTCATGATACCTATACGACGACCACGTAGGACTTACCGTCGTGGACACGGTGAAATTGCAGAGTCCGCCATGATTGTTGACGGCCATCAGCGCGTTGGAAATGTTCGTTACGTCCTGGTGCAACTTTAACACTTGGTTGGTGGAGTAGGCTACTGTTCTGGTCAACTGGTCAGACTGTGTCTTGACGAGTTCCGAAAGCTCCGCGAACATCTTCTCCTCCAGGCTGCTTTGGGTTTTCAACGTTTTCGGTATTTGTTCCAACGTCGTGCCCTCGGACTTACTCCTAAAAATACAAAAGAGTCATATTCAATGTTTGGTGCATTAGTGCGTTGCGTGAAGATAAAATAGTCATCACTTTGAGAAAATCGCAGGACAGACAGAATACAATGTTACCTAGGTACGTACCGATACGATTGCAGAAGGAGTTATATTTTATATTCTACAATTGTATTTACTTGAAATATGTGTAGGTACCTATTATATTTTATAATGATGTTTTAGATACAACATAAAAATAATATGTATCAAAAATATAATTACCTACCTATAGTCAAGAGAACAAGACGTATAATATAAATACTCCTAAGATACCGGAAAAGATATACGGTACCTATACGACGACCGAGTGTTTAAAATACATGCGCCTGTTTATGAAACATACGAGCACATGTATTTTAATATTGAACTAATACTGTAATATTGCTCATCTATATTTTACCTTTACAATGGTCAATGACGTGATTGATAATATTATTGTTACGTGCTTTGTAGTGTCAAAGTTTCATGTGATGAATGGCGAGCGGGCAATACTTATACTTACACCTACTATACTTGTACCTACTATTTCATTATTTACCATGATATAACCATACATTTTAAACTGCTATAAATTCTAAAATAATAGTTTCCGGAAAACGATTTGTACACCATCGTTTTAAGCATAATAAAACAAGTTGTTTTAAAAAAATTTTCAAAATCCGGAGTGGTTGATAATTGGTAAAGTGCATTTTAGCCCATGCATATTACATGGGTTATAATGTTATATACTTATAAACCTACCCTTAACTGTTTAAAAATAAATTTAATTTTGAGATGGGTTTATAACCAGTTAACAAAATTAACCACCTGGACTTATTTATTGTACCTACATTATTTGATGTCGAGTATTCGACAGAACGAACAATAAAATTGTCAATCGTTGTACCTACCTAATATTAACAAACTATGATTTTGAGACATATTTATGTGCACAGTAAACATCCAAAATGTCTGAAATACATAAAAAAAAATAAAATTTCCGATAATAAAATGGCAATAATATTGTTTTAAATAGAACATACTCGTATAATGTATTGTTATATTACTAAATTCCTTAAAAATATTTAGTAGGTACCTAATCATTATAATTTATAACTGTATCAACTGAAAGCAGAACATTACGATATGATATAGCATAAATATTATACATACAGCCATACAGTAGATATATCACAGACTACTTGAAAATGTCCATATAGTCTGCGGATAGCCGTTAGATAAGGGTAACCCGGGAAGTATAATAGAGCATTGGGCAAAATTCACTATTGTATATAAATAATTTAATATTTGCCATTCTGAATTCCTGGCAAACTTTTTGTTATCATAGCCAATTGTGATAAAACATTTTATCAACATTCGATGAAGTTTTGGCGGCAATATGAGATATGTAAAGTAACTATTAATTTTGTTCGTTTGATGTAATATTTGAATATATAGAAGTAGCGTGATATATACTAGTTAACAACGCGTCAATTATTTTATTTATACATATAGGAATTGACTCTGATCGATTTTTAAGTTATACGATACAGTGTTCTTTTAATAAAATATATTTTTTGAATTAATTTAGCATGCACCCTTTCACCACTTTAGGTGCCACTTTTACCCCATGATTAGATTAATCAGGCAAGGTTTAATATGTGACATATATGCTTAACAAGAAGCGTGTGTGGAAAACTGCAATAGATTGGATCATTGGATTTACTGAATTAGTCTGATATTAGAAGGTTTGACACTTTGATAGCACTTAAAAATACGTGCTTTATGATTGTCGTGTATATCCGAAGTTTGTTATTAAGCGAAAATTTGGAATTTAGAAGTGGGTGGGAGGAATCAATGAGATGTGAATATGTCCCTAATCGTATATTGGCTAATTTTTTCATTTACTTAAAGGTAATACCGCAGATTAAAAGTTCATCTAATAATACATACCATTGAACATATATAAAACATTTTTTAACCTGACGAAAATTGATTTCAAATCTGCATAATATATAAGTATACAATTGTCTCGATTACTTAGGTAATCAAACAATTACCAAATATTATGCTTAATGATAAAATCGTGTATTTTAAATTTATTGTTGTGAAAAAAACTCTTATTTTAGTTTATTTATCAGCATTCAGCCCTAATTTGATGTCATTTATGTTTACGAACTTTAAAATAAAACCTAGTATGTAAAAAACTCATTTTATAAATTAAAAAAAAAAACAAAAATAGTACATTGAGAGGATGATACCTAGGCAAACGAAACTATGAAACAATAAAATAGTTTAAATTATAATTATTATTATTGATATTTAAAAATGTTCGTTCGTATCACCGGAGTTATACATTTTTATGAATAAAAAAATTACTTAAGAAAATATGCAATCCCTCTCACTTGTTATCAATACGGTCTAATATCCTTTCCAATATATCAACCATATCGTTCTCGATTTGTCGTTCGTTTGATTGCAACCGGTGACAATTGTCCATGAACAAGTTTTGTCCATCAACGAGTAATTGCAAGTGCTCTTTGAACTTGACTTCAAGTTCGTTTTCTGATTTTTTCTGAATCGCTGTTATTTTGTCGATGGCCGCTTCCAAGAAACCTATAAAAAATGTATTTAAAATAAAAAAAACTTTTACAATTTAATATTTGGTGGATAACCAAACATTGATTGATTGCCAGACACGACATTATTTTCAATATTTACTATTTTGAGTTATTTTATTTTAATAATATAAACGGATATGACCCTTTGGAATTATATGATATAGGTGATCGTAAACCTTTTTTGACTATGGGGTCTCATTCAAAAATTAAAAAAGTTTCACTGGTTGTGTTGGATAAAAATTAAAAACTTCAAGTATTATTTTTAAAAATAATGGCTGTAATGCTGTATGGAACAGTCGCAATGACCACTGATATAGCCATGTATATATTCGATTAATATTAATTGTTGTATATTTGTTTATTTTTATTTTTTAACTATAATTTCTGAAGAAATTTTATCTTTTACTTCCACCTTTTTTCTCCAAATTTTCAGCGATCTGTGATAGGTTCGAATCGAAAGCAAATGTGAGGCCAGTCAAAAGCACAAAACTAGTTAATATCATATATAGTTTATGATAGCAATTGGAACCGGGTGGCTCCAGAGACATGGGAGAGGGGGGGGGTTAAGTCTTCTAAAAGCTCGATATTGTAATAGGATTTTTTTTAAAAATTTTTTTTTTAATATTATACAATTTTTAGAAATACGGGCTTGGGAATGGGCCACAGCCGCTAGTCCCCCCTGGACCCGACCTTACATAGGTACATACTGAGAATTGGAAAAAAAACTCAGAAATGTAACCATATTATTATCCACCGTTCAGTATAAACAAAAAATCTAGGGGATTAAATTTTATGCCACTGATAAAATTAATTTTAAAAACATAAACAGTAAATCTAATTTAGTAAGCGACTTCCCCAACGGCCAACGATGATCAGAATCAATTTTGAGCGTACCAAATACTAATTTAAGTGCTTTTCATTGTTAAGTTATAATTTTACATACAAATGTCAAATATTATTAAATTATCATTTTTAAGTATTCTGAGGGTTCACAGCAGTTATAGGTAACTTATACACACTTACACTTAATATTAAGGTAAACATTTTACTGCCCCATTCAATGATGTGTCGATTATGATCAAAATCAATCAAAATTAATATTAAAATTTTAAAAAGTTATTTATTTTTAGGTTGTTATTACAATCTTTATTGGTAATAAATAATTATTTTCATTCTTACTGTCTAAAAACTCGTTTATCACGCCTCGTCTATCGGAGTCCAATCTCCGTCTATACTTGTCAGTATTCTCCACTAATTCCTTGAGTGAGATGCTTATGTGATCTGTACGGTCTTTGAGCCCATTGTACATATTACTTATCTACGGAATATTATAAATAATAATGAAAATAGTTATTAAGAACAACGTTAGTTATGTGATTTCGAATTACTAAATTTCTATTTTAACTAGGTAATTGATATTAAGTATAGGTTTATAATAATAAATAGTATTAGGACGGTACCGCTGTAGCTAGTTTGTTAATAGTCGTTGTTTCCGGAATTTGACTGAAATCACCGTCTTGATTACACGAACAGGCACTCATTGATCTGTCCGTGATTTTGGGTTGTTGAGATAAATTTGCAACAGTGTCCTATAGAAACAAAATACCACTAAAACCAATGTGCATAGTAAAGTTAAACTTTTTTTATGATATTTTGAAGTTATAATGTTGGTGAAGTTTGTTGTAATTAAAAAAATAAATAATCCTAGATATTGGAAACATTCGATACGTAGAGGAAAAAGAAACAAAAAAAAAATAATTCAAATTTATTATGACTTAATATCTAAGGTTGATTTAAATATTTTCTGATCAACTGAAACTTTGGCTGGAAAATATAAATCGAAACGACAACGTAAATTTACGATATTTCAGAATTCAAATGACGAGATTGGTATAGGTACAAAAAAAAAAATTATGAACGTTATGTATGGATTGTAGACAATACGAAGTGTGTATTTATAATTTATAAATTATATTTTATTAGTTAGAATTTGGAAGTAAAATGATATTGCTCTACAGACTAAAATACCTACAACACAAATGTTAAGTATATCCTGATTTTTTTTTAAACGTTTATGTAATGAAAATAATGGTACTTTTATAATTTATTATAATTATAATATTTTTAAATGTCCATCTGGTCAATAAATCAATTGTTTCTAATATTCAATAACTTTAATTACAATTTACATTAATACGTTCACATATTGTTTTTACTTGTAACTGTTTCCTGAAGGTAATCTGATTGGAATTGTGTTTTTCAAACTCTGAACTCATGTCTTTTCGCATTGTCTGAATGTCTGTTGCCATTTCTGTCTGTCTGTCTGCCACTTTTTTGATTTCTTTCTCCAGTTCTTTCTGTAACACAGCCCAAATGGACGAGATGGTTCGTTAACTAACATGTCGTTTTCGTTTCATCTTTGGCCAATTGCCTGTTAAGACCAGCCACCGACTGACTGATTACAAACGCATGTTTCCAGCGAGTTATTTATTTCCCTTTACTGTCGATCTTTTCAACAACACCCAATTAAAATGCCCATGTTTCATCATCTATAAATACACAGTGTGTTTCAGATGCAACATAATATTATAATATCATGCAATAATTGTTTATGATGTTGTACCTATCATTTTTCAGTAACATTATTCTATCATTAATCTATTAAAATGTATAATACAATTTGAAATCAATGGTACCTAACGCCTCATCTTTCCAATATTGTAATAGCTTATAGGTATTTACCCAACAAAGACGAAATAATGATTTGCGTCATTACTTATATTATATTATTGCCCTGCATTGATTTTTAATTCGTTAAAGTATTAAACATAAATACTTATAATAATATGTAATATTTAGTAAATCTATGTTTTTTATGTTTATGATGTATTATATAATATGCGCATATTATCATGTAACAACTAGCCACTAGGTATGTATAATGTATATCAATACTGAGAAAAAAATACACTCTGGTTAAAGTGGGTTTTATTTATAATTAATTTTATGTATTTGTGAGTTAGTCATATTGACCTGATGATTTTGGACGGACTGTAGATTGGTCTCCATGTGTTCTAATGTTATCTCTAGTTGTTGCTGAGCCTTGTCCAGACGTCTGGTCATGTGGTTCGGACCACATTCCTCCATCACCGACTGAAAAGTCACCAAATGTCAAATGGTTTACACAATTAGATGCATATTACTATCATAATTCATAATATTTACTGCAACACGGTGGTGTAACTAATAATAATAATAATAATAATATAGTTTCAATTTAATTCGGATACATGATGAATATTACACACCTAACTCTCCCCAAATCGCCTTATTGTTGAAAAATTATAAAACAATAATTGAAATATTATTTTTCAAATTCATTATTATATGTGAAAAATATATTTGAAAAATTTGAAAAATTCAGGAATATAATTAGACCTTTAGCCTTTAAGCTTTAATAATACCTACCTAATTCAAAAGTCTACTTTTTTTTTAGTTTTAATTTTATAAAATGTATTGTTTATTGTTACAAATATTGAAATATCTATAAGAAGTTATGTTTAATAGTCTATAAACATTTCAAAAATACCATTATTTTTTCCCGAGTTTTAAAAATACTAGAAACACATTCTATACAGATATCATTGTTCACCGAGGTTGTGTTGAAAGTAATTTGTTTTTAACACATAATTTAATTTATTTATATTATCATTTTCAAGTATAAAAGTCCAATAATTTATTATTAGGGGAGATTATACTAAATTGTTAAGGCAGTCCCCCGTGTTCCTGTTAAAATATGGAAAAAAGGCTGCATATAGCACTAAAATTCATTGTGTACACTAATAGATGATAGAAGTAGAGATGTTATACAAGTGTTTTAACTGCAAGATAAAGTATGGTACTTACTAAAATTATTAAAATTATACCTGCTGAAATTTATCGAACCACATTTCGTTGGATACTTCTAAATGACTAAGCTTGTTGAACATTATGTCTATCCTGGAATTTATTCTTTCCATTTGTTGATCCCGTCTTAATGTATTTGACAAATCTCTCAGTCTGAATTCGATATTGGAAATTAGAGCATAGACCTGAAACAAAGCGATTGTATTTAAAGGGTGAGCCGTGAGAGTTAAAATATATGTTTAAATCGTGTGAAACGTATTGGCCATATCTGTAGCAGTCTTTATATCAGGCCAGAAAATGTCATAATTAAAAATTTACTTTTTGTGGATAATGTATATCAATTATATAATCAATACACTGTTAGCGAACGGTAACAGGAATCAGAGTAGGTATTTTATAACTTATAAGCTATAATATACAATATGAGAATATAGTATAAAAAATATATGCATTATATTATCTCAGGAGTGGCCAAATCACGGCTGGAGTCTTAACATAAGACGCAAAACCTTTTTACTAATGCAATAATTTATAGGTAGGTATTGTATGAAAAGACAATTATCCGTTACAAAATTTAATACGACATTATTCGACGTTATTATATTGTTTCACATACAAATCATTCAATACATTTTAGTGTTTTATTTAATTTAACATCTTTTCTTATTTAAGATAATTTGTTGAGAACCTTTTTTCCTGACTCTTACATATTTTTCTTTATACTGTGTACCATGTGGCTCGTGATTCTTATCGCTGGTCACTTCTACTATATACACTGTACAGAAGTCAGTAAACCACGGTTATCAGTGGTCTTCTACGGAAGTATATCTAACTAAACTATACTATTGTATACAATATATTGTACTTATGTGACTATGCACTTATCTAATTTTAATTTAAATAATTCAATATACATTTTTCAATAATTGCATTTTTGTTTCAATTTGTATTTTACGGATTAATCGCGAAAATCGCTTATCCTTGGCTGTGCTACACTATTCCGCCGATGATAGAAAGCTTACTGTAGAATTATCTATTACATTTATTATTTGCTGAAATTCAATTTAAACTTTTAATTAATCTTCAGCTTCAATGCTATTTTACTGAACAACAAAAAATAATATTTTTTTATACTTCTAAGCCTAATACTATAAAATTAATTTGCTTAATCTTTGATCCATTTAAAATAAAATAAAAGTATTCTTAATATCTCAGTTTCATCTTTCATGTACCCAACCGAACTGATTTTTAATAGGAATTTAATTTGTTTGTTAGATTATTCAACATTTATGAATAATCAACAATTTAATGATGTTATACATACATTAATTAAACAAAGTCATTAATATTTTAATTATTATTGTAAGAGAATTAATATTGGATTAAACATTTTTTTAAATAATCTTTTATTCAAAATCGTTCAAACCTATCAAATCAACTGGGAATATTTAATTTTAGTTAATATTTATTTAATAAGATAAAAAAATATCAATATTCCATATCAATGTAAGGTTTTATTTGGATTTTAAACCAAAAGCCTATTTTTGTGTTGAAAAATGTTTGATTTTAATTTATCACACATTTGGCTTACAGATATTGCATGAGATCACGTTGCAACAGTTTTTTAAAATTTTTTTCTATAAAAAAAAATATAATTATTTTAATATTGTAGAATTATATGTATGTGTAGAAGCTTTTAAGAAAGAAATATATAAGTATAATATAGCATGATTGTCACAGAAAATATTTTTTATATTTTCTCTAATATGAACCTAATCTCAATTTTTAAAATTTAAATAATTTATTTGGCTATCGGATTACTGGATATTTACACATTAATTGGTTCAATTTTCTTAATTTATTCTTAATTCTTATACGATGGTTAATTATTAAGCTTTTGATATATATATAGTATACATAGTACGTTGAGATTTTAATTTATGAGAATAGAATGTAAAGAAATTTGAAAATTGTTAAAAGGAATTAAATTAAGTATTTAGGGCAGAATAGTTAGTTTTGTAATGTATTATTTTGAATTTAATAATTTATTATTGTACTTAGTGATTGGTTGGTTATATAAACCTAATCTTTAATAATATTAAATTATGTACATATATTGGTAAAAGCATGAAACTCAGAATCTATAGATTTGCAACATGAAGTTAAATTGTTGATCAACAAACATATCAGAATATAAAAATATACCCAATTTAATAAAATTTACTTTATAGTTTAAATTCATGGATAATTAATAAAATGTAGTTTTCCGTTGGATTAATTGGTATAATAATACCAATTAGTTTCGATTCGTTGAAAAATGTTGGACGTGAGTCGTGATAGACTTAATATATCAAACATTAATAACATTATCGTATTTATCGACATTATCGATCATGTATCTAAAATCGAAATAAATCTTATTTAGTATAACTAAGCATATTATATTAAGCCATTTCATTGAATCAGTTGACTTATAATATGCCAATATGGAATAGACAATAACGTCAACGATTTATTAGTCTCTTGACCCGCATTGGTTTTTAAATTTTTAATAGGTACAACATATATCTACAATATTTTTTATATATCCGCATAAACTTTCTGAAATGACAATTGTTTACCGATCGTTAAGTTGTATTTAAGAAGAATCAATTACTCCATAGTCGTCAATCTTTGTAATAATATCATCCATGAATGTAATTTGTATTCCTTCATCAACATCCGCCACTTATAATTTGTAAGATATTAATTCATTTAATAAATAATGAAATACATTTTTATTATTTTATTTATATTTTGTTATTTACAATATATTTTGTTTTTTATTTGAGACTCACGCTCAACGTATGCAAAAAGGCATTTAGAATTGTTATTTTTATGATTTTTTAAGTAGGTAATCTTAGAGTAAAATCACTTATTAAATATGTTTAGAAGATAATATTTTTGAAGGTTTGACAATGGTTTTATGTTTTATTATTTTGACTTAAAAATAAAAATAATTTTTTTATAAATTTAGGAAAATGAAAGTAAAATATGAAATAAAATATAAAATAAAATTAATATTATATTGTTCCGAGAAAATATTTAGAAAAATTATATATTAAACACCCTCCAAAATAATATTCTTAAACATTTTTGTAATGGACAATTTTACTTTTGAGTTAATGAAAGTTTCTCATTTTCACATTTATATTTATAGATAGATAGATAGATGAATTCTAGAAACAGTTTTAAATATATTATTGTATCATTTAGTTTAAGTAGGCATATGCCATGAACCACCAATAATATTATACATATTATATACAAATTTGCATTATAACAATCATTAGAATTACATATTTACATCCCAAACTAGCCAAATTGATTAGTCTATATTTCATTCTTATTGCAAGTGAATTTAATTGGTTATGATTTATATCAAACGTTCTTCCCCATAAAAATGTATTGAACCTTTACAAACGTTCACCTTGGATACGAGCCAAGTTAACATTTTTTTATTTTTTGGCAGTTGGATGCATGAAATAAATCGTCATTAAACGTGTACGCTGTGAACTTATTTAAAGTGACAAAAGTAACTAAAATAAAATGCTAATCTATTCATAGAATTAACTGTTTTGTGATGTTAGGTTATAGGTTAATAATTGTTTCTATGATTTTTTACTAAGTAATAGTGCATTGTGTATTTATTATAAACTTATTTGCGTTCTATTTTATTGTAACGTAGCTTTCTTCTTATTCTATATTTTAATGAACAAAATAAGTGTAGTTTATAGTATAGTATTAATAGGAAGTCATTAGTCATATCAAACTATTAACAATTTTAATAACAGGAATAAAAAATAGTTTCCAGAATTCAGAAGAGATATGCGTATTAGCAGTAGCCGGCAGCACAGTGGCATTTACAAAAATTTCCACGTGGTAGAGGGGAGACTATATATTTATGATTTTATAAGAACATTTTGGCTGGTTCCTCAAAATTAAAAACCGACTAGTAAAATTTGAACAATTATAATCTTATGTTCAGGGCAATCGTTGGACGTTAGTTGTTTTTAATATTAGTTAACATTAATATTATTATACTACCGAGTTATGACTTTTTTGGTTAAAATGTCGATTGATTTCAGAAAAATGTGTAAGTACTTATTTAAAAGAGCCGAGAAGATAATAATTGATAATTATTGATAGGTGTCAGGTAGCATGTTTTGCGAAATTATTACTGTCATCTATATACATTTCACTTTTTCACTTTTAATTAAATTAAATTTGTTTATGGTGATATTTTACTCGGACATTTTGTACAGATTTACCGGATGGGATAATTAAATATTTGGAAGTCTCGAGTTTCGAGCCATAATATCTACAAATATAATATACTATTCAATAAGATACACCGAAGATACCGAAGAACTGTAAAGCAAATTTCTGATAATTATTGTTCACAGAGTAATTAGAATTTTCTTCATTAGGATCACGAATATGTCTTTTGAATTGCAAGGATATATTATTAATACATTATTTGCGTGTTCATATAGTAGCGAATAATGTGTCACCAAAGAAACTAAATAATATTATTACAGCAAGTGTATAACAATAAAATCGTCTTACTAATATTATATAGGTCTCTGGCCATCATAAGACACGTGTCAGCAATAATTGTCAATAATTATCCTACATCCACCCTTTACTTACTGACCTGATTGACAGTGAAAGAGCTCGGTGTTCCACTACCAGCTAGGTCGCTGTGTATGGACATGGTGATGTCTGGAGCTGCAATTCCATCGTGGGCGGCGGTCAGCAGCACCAGCATCGCCAGCAGTGCAGCCGGCTGCAGCGATGGCATCGCGATGGAGCAGCCACCACCGCAGCCGCGGTTCGCCCGTACGTTTGCCGCCGTGATGGTGGTGCGGTGGGCGGTGGCTGCGCCGGTCTGGCTCGCAGTGGTGTCGAAGATCGGGCGGTCGGCGGCTGCGTAGCGATTAGCGTGTTACCGTGCACGTCTTCGTCGGACGCGTTTACAGCCGACTGTAAAACGAGAGACGAGAGACGAGACGACGGGTGACCGGACGGTTGGCGGCGCCGGCGATCTGCGTATTTCTCCCTGCCCCACCACAGTCACATAATATATTATTATACTTCAAAAATATTATTATTGTCTTTCCGTCTCACAGTCCTTCACACTCTCTTTTACTCTTTTTTTTTTCACTCACTCTGGCGTGCACGCACCCACACGCACGCACACACGCATGCACACACGCATGCACGCACACACGCACAGTTACAAACGAGCCCCTTGTGTGCATGTGTGCCGCCGCCACCAACGACGGCACGCCGCATACCACCACCGATATCGTTAAAAACCCCTAACTAGATTCAAAATAATAATACGTAGTAGTGTCCGTCGCGTTGCCGTAGTCCTCGAAAAACACTGCAATAGTTATATTTAGATAATAGACGAGCGATGATGTCTTTGATGACATAATCAGTACTGTGCATGGATATTTTAAGGAGGGTGGCAAACAGTACCCATTTATTGGAGGGAGGCAACGATACAAAAGGGAAATATGCTCCAAGAGTCAAATTTTTCAGAGTGCACAGAAAGAAAAATAATAACGATTAAATCAACACAATTATTGTTAACATAGGGCCAGCAGACGCGTTTGTCGATTTCAAAATGTACACATTATTAATAACTAGATTAACTAACTATTATTAATCTGCTGAAATTCCGGTTTAGCTCAACAATATGGTTTGTTAATTTTTAATCTCCAAATCTATTGTATTTTGTTAAATTAACAATAATATTTGTTAAGTTTATACAATTTTCGTTCAATTTAACAACTTTAAACTTATAGAATTTTGTAATATTAACAATAGTTTTGTTAAGTTTATACAATACTCAATTAAATTGTTGAATCTCTTTATTTAAACAACAGAAATATATTGTTGATTCAAATAGGTCACATTGTTAAATCTAACAGTAGGTTAGGGGTGAAAGGCACTGAGGGAAAGTACTCTCCCAATTTCTTATTTGATTAATTATTTCACGAAGTGACACACAATAAGTATTCAAGTTCTACAAAAACTTGAGAAAGAAATTAAGTGCCCCCTTCAATAAATAATAGGTGGTCAATAAAAACTTAAAAATAAAAAATTAAATATATATACTAAAAAATAGCTTTCGTTTATGATATTTTGATTATTTATAATATATGTATATAGTTTATCAGTTTATGTAATATTTTACTAAGTAACAAAACTTTTCGATAAGACGTATCAGTATTTGTTTAACGACCATCACCAGCATATAGTTTTGGGGGAATGCTACAACAATACTCTAGAAAGTATACCGGAATTCCGGAATCCGGTAATATGATTTAGAAATATTATTCCTAAATAAGTGTATTTAATTTAGGACACATTTAAAAAGCTTTCAGACGGCGAGTAAAATTGTATCTTAAAGTGTTCATAATGTATGTTGTCAATCGTGAATTTAAATTATCCTCTCTCAAACACACACAAAACATATCATCAAAATCGATCCAGCCGTTTAGGAAGGCATATGAGACGTACAGACAATAGACATACATTAATTTTTATACATATAGATTAAAACTAATGTTTATCTAAAAGACACTGTGATTGTTAATATTTAGTTGTACAAAACATCGTATTTATAATAAGTATAATATATTATAGTCCAAGGTAGTAAATTAAATTTTTTTAAGAAGAGGATACTCATTTTTAAAACAACGGTTGGGTATGTTATAGGATTATATAAGGTTAAATATAGCCACATAGGCACCTACTGTTATTTTATATATGATTTAAGGTTTACGTTTACAAACGTATTTTGTTAAATAATTTACTAAAGGTGTTTTGGATATTGGTTAGCAAAAAATTTCTTTGGAAAATAATTATTTATTGTGTTCCAGAAATGTTGATGTTGTTGGAGGGGGTGGGAAAATTATTTACCTCCTATATCTTACATGGGGGTGAATCTAGATTGGAAAATTTGACTTGTATTGTATTTTATTTATTTATTTGTATTAAATACAGGACGAACCCCATTAAATTTTATTGTATTAAATAATAATTACAACAATTTAAGAATGAACAGACAATAATTACATTAAGTATACCAAGGCATTTGGGTCCTTATTTTCTCATTAAACTCTTTCAAGTTGAAAACTAATATCAAGTGTGCATGGTTCCCAAATAATTTTATATCTAACGTCCAATATTTTTATTTATAGAACACATCTTTCAGATTTTAAATATTTAAATAATATTAAATGTAGTATTTATATATATATAAATTATATAGTAATTATTATTAATAATGTACCTATTATGTATGTGCTAAATACATTAATTTGGTAAGGTTATTCTATCAAGATGTTAATGAACGAATAACAATATTGGTTTATTATAAACTTAGCTCAGTTATAATAAAAACATAAACACCGAAATCCATTCGGGAAGCACAACCAACTAGTCGTAAAAATTACAAAGAAAAAGCGCTCGTGGCTAATTTTTTTATCAAATATGATAATGGGATTGTGATGAGTGATGACATAATATTATATTTATACAGACATGTATTTTGTATACAATATTAAACATTGGTATAGTACTCAATGAGTATAGACTTATTATGTTTAAAGTTAATAGCGTAACGTAAATATAATAAAATCTGATTAAAAAATGCATGTTCAGTGTTCGTACTCGTACTATAACCACGTGAAATTAAAATATTATAGTGTATGTCTTATAGTCAATTGTATGTGTCTTGAAGTTATTAAATATTATTTTGTAGAAACAATCTGTTTAGATAAAGATTTTAATAAAAATAATTTTAAAATAATATTTTTTATGACCTCGGTTAAATTAACGACGCAGTACAGTCAGTATAGAAGGCATGAGAGATTTCAATTAGTGATCTCATGATTCCGGAATGTAATTCTAATTTTTGAATTGTAATATTGTAATCATGTACGTTATATCCAATGATTGTATTTAATAACAATAATAACAACCTTATAAAGTTAATTTTATTTCTAAGACTGCGTTATGTTGATACTATTTAATATTATGCTAAGTAAACTTTTTTTTATACCTACCAACACATTTGAGTAAAAACACTAAGAACTAAAAAGTTTTATTTTTTATAGTTTATTATTTTATTGATTATTTGTTAACGCTCAATTATTGTTAAAATTAATAAAAATTTTAGTTTCCCATTTTTTCTAACACCAACAAAATATAAAGGAATTTTCCAAATTAAATTAAAATAATGTATGCATTTTAGGAGTGATCAACACATTGTAATAGTCAACTGTCAACATGTATATCTGTGTTCATAATAATCTATTATACGACGATGTTATTTTTAAAATTAGAGTGAATCGACCTATTATAAAATGTAAAGGTATACGATTATTATTTAGTCATATTGGATACTTTAAAATTAAAATATCAATGAAAGCTTCCGGTATTCCTTAGATAATATTCGTACCTTTAAATTACAATGATTAAATTCAACTTAGATTTTGAGAGGGCTTAACCCCCTCCATGCTTACCAATCACCTATCTTCAACAATGTGTAGTTAAAATATATTATACCAATACTATAGTAACATTTAACACCAATTACATAAACATTATTTTACTTGCCATTTATTAACATAAAAATTAATGATTATACAAATGTATATACTAATATTTCTAACTAAATTGGTAATTCATTATAAATTGTAATAATTGTAAATAGATAAAAGACTTTGACCAGGTAGTTAAGATATTATACTTGTATCTCAGTCCGTGCTTTTGACCGCGTTATCAATTATCATACAAAAATTATATTGAATTGAATTTTAATATCTTACCTATTAAATAGGTACAACTTTACGAAATAATATTACAGAATTACAATATTATTTTAACAAAATAAAACGTTTCATCATCCATTTCTAATAGAAATAATTAGAAGTGGTGCTCTCGAAAAAAAAAAATGCAGTCCCTCTGCGCCCGAGCACTAATGATACAACAACAGGTAATGATACAAGCATTTTAAACATTTTTAAATAATTAAATTAATTGCCATTGCGAAGATTTACCTAGGTAGTTATACACTTACGAGTATATCTAAAATCGTTTACAGAAATTAAGTTTTAACCATTGATATATTTTATTAGGGGTTTCATAGTTTTTGTAGTAGGCAAAGGAATCGAAAACATAAGAAGTAAATGCCTTCTGGTCTATGGATACGAATATAAGATGTACTAAGTTGGTAGTCCAACTCTCTGAGTGTGTAATTCTCTAATTGCAAGTTAGTTTAGATCACAAAAACTTTACCTATCAATTAAGATCTATATAATTATATAAATGCTTATAATATAACTACACATACATATAACATCAAACAGTATGTATACATCTAGTTGACCCAACAAACAGGCAATTCAGTATATTACCTATACAATTAAAATAAGGCGTTAAATTAGAACATTTAAATATAGTGACATTTTAAGTTTATGGTTATTAAGCAATGTCATATTATATAATAATTAGTCAATACTATTTTATAGTATAATACCGTAATCTCTCATTAACCGTGTATTTTTTATCTTCGGTCGAGTCCACGATAAAATGTTATAATACGATAACGTTTTATCGTTATATTCGAACACTGAAGATAGTTTTTATTTTAGACAACTGTAGGTCTGTAGATAATACAACTATGTAAGTACTTTTGTACTTACTATAGTTAAATACCATACATTAGGTACCTACAGAATTTTTCCATTCTTCCTTATACATATGTATGTACAGTATGTTTAT